ATCAGAGATAGCTGGACATAATCTCATTGAGCCACCAACGGTTTCAGCAACATTATGAATCACATTGAAATCCCCCATAAGTAACCATGGAGAGAGTGAGAAAAAGTCTGCCTGCAGTAAGAGATCTTCCCAAAGGTCTTGCCTTTCAAGTACATTGTTAGCAGCATATATAAAAGAAGAAAAGAAATTGATATTTAGGCCTATGATAGAAATCCTACTATGGATGGCCTGCCTGGTATAAGCTAAAACTGATAAGTTAATGGTAGATGGATTCCAAAAAACCCAAATTCTACCCAAATCTGAATAACTATAGTTGTGGACTAAAGACCAAGAAGGAGCCAAAGCCTTATGGATTGAAGCAACATTGGGGAGAGACACCTTTGTTTCAACCAAAGAGACAAGATCAAGTTTTTTTTTAGAAATTAGTCTCTTAATCTCTGCTTGCTTAGAGGGTTGATTTAATCCTCTAATGTTCCATGTGATAAATGAGATCATTTAAAAGGAGGATTGAAAGAACCTCTAGGATGTGCTTGGTCTGATGGAGCACCAACGTACATCAAATCTTTGCTGCTATGATTCTTCCTTGTTGCCTGCTTTTTCAAACTTCTGATTATTCTTCTGTAATTGTGCACTATGGTTGGATAATCAGAGGTGTCAGGATCACTTAAAGATGATTGAATATGGCTGGAGCTTGCTGCCTGAATGATGCTTTTGCCACGGTATGTTCCTTGTTTTTTGTTTTTTTTGGGGGGGGGGGGGGGGGGAAGGTGGTAGGGCTGGGCATGGTAACTGGTTTGTTGGATTGAGGAGAGGAAGGGCTGGTATTGGAGAAGTTGAGTTTCTTGATGCAAAAGGGGGAGTGTATAGGTGTATGAGAGTATGTGGGAGAGCTTTGTTTATCAGCATGAGGAGATGATGAAGGGATTGATACTGAAGGTTTGGATGTGGAGGAGGAAGGGGTAGTGGGTTGTGAATTCTCTTCAGGGTCTAGGTTTGATAATAGAGAGAACTGGTTTGTGTTGACAACAGGAGCTGAGTTTGACGTAGAAGCCAGTGAAACCTTCTTCTTCTTCTTCCTAACTATAATCCAATCAGTAGTGGGGGCATTTGTAGTGACAGGTGTAGGGGCAGATTTCCTCTGGGGGGTGATAATACTCCTTCTCTTGTGTGGTGGATTTATGAAGCTGAGAGGGCAGCTTAATTCTGTGTGGTTTAAGTGGTTGCATTTGGTGTAGAATTTGGGTAGCCACTGATATTCCACCCTAATTTGCACAAAGCTTCTGTCTTCCATTCTCAGCTGAACTTCATGTTGGAGAGGTTTTGTCAGGTCTAGATTGATACAGATTCTTGCAAACCTAAGCTTTGTCCTATTTTCTGTAGCTTGGTCAGCATATAGAGGTTCACCCACTGAGCTTGCTATGTGACTTAATCCTTTGGCTGTCTAGTAGTTCAATGGAATGTTGTAGAATTTAGTCCATGTAGGAATGTAGGTTAGATGAGTGGCTTGTGAGGTAGATTGTTGGTCCCATTTCATGAGTGAAAATGGGTGACCTACAATTGATCAAGGGCCAAGTGAGAGAACCTTTTCAGCCTTGGCAACTGAGCTGAATCTGAAGATGAAACGATTATTTTCTCTAACGATGGTATCTGTGAGCCCCTTCGATTTCCAAAGCTTTGATGCTGCTTCTTGTATTACTTTGAAATGGATCATTTTGTGAATAGAAAATCCAACAAGGTGAGTAGATGCCCAAAACTGTTTACCTTCTTCAACAACCTCCTTGGGGGGGGGGGGGGGTCAATGAATGAGGATGAAGAGGGTGGTAAGAATTCGAAAATCATTTTACCAGAGTTTTGTTTGACCACCTCACTCCATGCTTTAGTCTGATGGTTATTTAGTGGTTGGTTGAGGTTAACTGTTGAGTTGTCATGCATGTGTTGCACAAGGCTTGAGAGAGGGGTAGGTAGGGCCTGGGTGGTCTGTGGTGAGTTTGGTTAGAAGCACAGTAGAGGTAAGGTTGAGCCATCTGTAATGTCAAAATTGGAAAAGTAAACACCCCGATTACCATTATGGGAGGGCTGAGATGAGGGGTCTAAAGTAGCCTGCAGAGGTAACTTGACTGGGGAATTCGGAGTTGAATTTGAATTCAATGGGTTTGAATTTGAATTCAAACCAGTTCCCTCTTTGATTGGGGGAGGCACACAGGTGGTGGTGGTGGTGGTGATTGTGGGAGGTGGTGGCGGATCATTGTGTGGAGGTGTAGCCTGTTGCTTATTCTTCTCCTTGATCTCTGCAAGCTCATTCCTAAGCTCTGAAACGATGACTTTGAGCTTGTTGTACATCTCCATTGCCTTATCAAGATTTTCATCTTTCCACTTAAGTTGCTCTTAAAGTCTGTCAATTTGATTTGCTGGGGAAGAGTATAGGACATGATTGAAGTTCCTTAGTAGATGGGAGTTAATAAGAGACTCAATGCGAGGTGGAGAAAGGTTTGGGGCTGGGTGTTTGTTAGGGGGAATTCTTATAGGGTTGATTGTGGATGGAGGGAAATGTAAATGTGGCTGTCCTGAGATAGAGGATGGGATTGGTGGATGATAGATTTATGTAAGCAGTGTGGAAGATGATGGTTTCTTAAGGATGATTTTCTGGTTTGAGGGGTAGTTTTTTTATGGTGAGAATGGGTTGAGGTATGTTTTGATGGTGTTTTGAGATGGTGGAAATGGCCTGATCTGAGGCAGGGAGAGGGAAGAGGAATATTGTTTGGAAAGGTTACAATCTGCGGTTGGATGGTGGAGGATTGTTTCAGAGGAATGAATGGTGGTTTGAGATGATTAGCAGTGGCATTGGCCTTCAATGGAGGTTTGGGTTTGTAGAGAGGTTTCTTCATGGTTTTTTATATTGATATACTTGACATTTATTATGTTATGGAGGCACGACTGATCCCAAGTGTGAACTAGGACAGCAGAGTAGCAAAGTTTGTTTGTTGTTGGACCAATTAATATATTTTGGCATCATCATACCTAGGTAGATATGAGACCATCCTTTGTAGCCACATAGTTATTGTTGTATAAGCGATATAAAATTGTTTTATAAATGACGTAAACTTGTTGCATAAGTAAATTTGAGTTGTTGTATAAATGATCTAAATGACACACGAGGGGATCTAAGTTTTAGGTGTATGGTTCGAAATGTCAACTATGAGAATCTTGATCAATAAGATTTGTTGTCATCGAGATCAAATAGTGTGTTAGGTTCATTAGTTGTTTTTTTTTTTTTTGGAAAAAAAAAAAAAAAATGGTTCAGGAACCATGGAAAGATAGGAGCCAACTCAGTAAGAGAGTGATAAAAAAAATTTGTTGTTTCAAAATTCTAGGATGTTGGTAGAAATATTACAAATATGCTCAAGGGTACTTGGGAAAATGTCAAAACAATACAAATATTAAAAAAGACTCTAGAGTTGTAATAAGAATTTAACGGAAAAAATCAATAGGCCTGTTATCTAGCGGTATTAGGTTATTACTTTTTAAGAGATTTAAATCTCGGTAGAGGAATGTGTGTCCGTACCAATTAAAAAAAAAAAAAATTCAATAGAAATAATTTCATCCCAGTTGCAAAAAAATTTCCATGACTTCAAATAATTTCATTGTAATAATACAAAATATATAATCATTCAACGTCCTTGTCATACAGTTTTGGGTTGGCAGTCATGATCAAACATGTTTTGACATGACCGAACCCTAACTATATAGTAATTTCACATCAATAATGTCAATTAGTCGTTATAATTACTTTAGCTTTGCAGCACCAATAATAAATGGGGATCGTTTAAAATTCAAGTTGTCAAATCCAAATGTTAGACTATATGTTCTCTCAAAATTTAATATTTTGATCTTTTGTTTTTTACATTTTATTTTAATTCGGAATAAAACAAATATTTTGTTGTAAAGTAATTTCAATAGTAATTAAAAATATGTTTGGTAATGTCAATTTGTTGTAAAATTTTTTGAAACAAAAATATGAAAATATGTTTGATAAAAAAATGTTGCAATTTAAAAAAAAAATATAACAGTTTGATTAAATATGTCATTTAAGTTTTTTTTTTAAATATATTTTTTACTGTTGATCATTACGGTACCCATTGTTACAATGCTAAAACATGTAAAAATATCAAATTGGTGTTTTGATTGCCTATTCACGAAACATTTTAATACTGTGCAAAACAACACATATTTTACCAAACATCTTTTTTCTACTGTCACTGCTACAGTACCCCATAAAAACAAAAATACTAAAAGACAAAATGGTGCGGATCCTTCCTTAGTCTATTTGTTTATTTAATTATGAATTTTGTTATTTTATTACCTTTGTACATGTGTATTTATGAGTGATGTTAAATATTATTATTGTCTTTATTAATCAATCAGGTAAGATAATAAGTTTATTAAAGTAATTTATATGATTACTTATTTATTTATTCTCTATTAAATAATCAAAAACAATAAGTTATTAATACTATCTTTCAAATTTTTTCTTCTCTTAGTAATTAATATTTTATTTCTGACCAATATTTTAACTATTTCTCCTCGTCTGAGTAGGTTTAGATATTTGGTATGTTCGGTGCACCGGACACATCAAAATTCCCGTGCACAATTCACCAAAGTGTCCACACCAATGACCTGGTGCACTGGTACACTCAATATATTCTTCTCCTTGTCCCTCTAAACCCTTCTCTTCCTCTCAATTGTTATGAAGCAAGCACAACTTATACATTCCGTTTGTTTTTTTTTTTTCCCCTTGTAATTAATATTTTCTTTCTAGCCAATGACTGAAAAGGGTTAAACTATTTCTCCTCGTTGAGCAGGTTCAGGTATTTGATGTGTCCGGTGCACTAACACATCAAAATCGTCCATACACAACACGCCAACTTGTCCACACCAATGACCTAGTGCACTGGTATACTCAATATATTCTTCTCCTTGTCCCTCTAAACTCTTCCTCTCAATTCTTATGAAGCAAGCACAAGTTACACATTCCTTTTCTATTTTCCTTCCTACTTTTCCTTTCCATTTCCCTGAATCCAAACGGCCCTGTCCACTCCGTTATTGACCTACCTCACGTGTTACTTGCGAGACTGACCAGTCAAGATAGCAAAAGAGGAGCACACAAAGAAAGAAACGAACAAAAGCGGGAAACTTCGAACTAGGAAAAAAATCAGTGGTCCGCAAAATCCTACCACGACTCCTTTCTCTGTGCTTCGGTAGCCCACACACATCTATATTTTTATATCTATATATCTATATATATATACACAAATCTCACATTCACATTTACTTTCTCTTTGAAACATTCAGAAAAGGCGGTTTCGAAATTGCTTGTTTGCGCCGCCATGGAAGAAGTTAGGGCAAGCTCTGCTTGGGTCGCCAGTCGCTCTGCTCATGTATTCGTCGACTCCTCAGGTCCTCCTGTCTAATTCTTCATTTTTCTCCAATCAATAAATGTGTATTTGTGTGAGTTTTGAAGTTACATTGATTTGAGCAATGTTGTGCAGATTATTCTCATTTCTTTGGGCTTTGAGAACAAAAAATATTATATTTGCACTTAAAATGGTGTATGTGTGTAGGAATTGAGAAAGTTGTGGAAACCATTAAAGACTCAATTCCGAAAGTCGAATGGGATTTCGAAGGGATTCACTATTTCGATAATGGTCCGCTCACTGTTCAGTACTTGTTTGTCTTGGATGCACTCAATTTTTGTTTTTGGCCTGGTAAGCTTCACTCAATTTTTGTTTTTGGTCTGGTAAGCTTCTATACTTGTGTTGTTGTCGTCGTCGTTGTTGTTTGACAGTAGTTTTGGATGACAAGCTAACACTTTTAACTACTTTGCTAATATCACATTGGTAATGATAGCAACGAGTCAAATTTTATGGCATGAAGACATTCTTGTATGTGGGTGTTTTCATGAGAACATAGTCAATAGTGCATTAGAGATGAGTTACATTATGCTATGTGGTGTTTTCATGAGAACCTAGTCAATAGTGCGGTAGAGATATTTTAATGCATAACAAAATGCATACGTTGCCTTCAATAGCATTGACCCATCCATTTAGTGGATGAAGATTGAGTACTAGGCACAGACATTTGTGAAATCGAATCAGAGTTGGAGTTTTTGTTGTTTGAATTGGTGGATACACCTCTTCTTTATTGTTGAGTGATTGCACTTTCCTCTATGCGACATTCTTGTATGTGGGTGTTTTCATAGGAACCTAGTCAATAGTGTGGTAGCTATGTTTAAGTCAATGCCACAGTTACAAAAGTTTTTATGCATAAAGGATTGCATACCTCGCCTTCAATACCATTGACCCATCCATATAGTGGATGAAGATTGAGTACTGGGAACAGACATATAAGGTTGTCCATATGCCATCCCATCAAATTCAGATGCTGAATTAGAGTTGGACTTTATGATTGGACTAACTTGTGTTTTGATTCACTTCCTTGTCGTGGAGGTGCCCAAATTAGTCTATGTTTGATTTATTGAGGAATTTTTCTATGATCAGTTTGCTTGCCAATATGGTTAAATGCTGGTTAGAAAAGGAACTCCAGGCATAAAAAGGAGCTGACAAGACTTCTCAGTTTGCTTGCTTGTAGTCTTGTCTCAATCTTTCTATACATACTCTTCAAGCTGACAAAACCTTAGTTGATATTGTTGCTATTAATTCCCTGAACCAAGGAACCATATGTAGACTCTTCTTCACTATGGTGCACACAAGGACTTGTTTTAGGGCACAATTGTTGCCTTGATAATACCCTTGATTACCATGCCAAGTATGTGTTTTTTTTTTTTGTTTTTTTTTTATAAAAAAAAACAACATTTGTGCTAAATTATGCTTTGTTCCATTCACTTTTGGTTTTGTTTTTTGTTCTGATAGAGAAAAAATTCTGTTAGTATCTATTATATTGGATGAAATTTTATTCATTATTTTGGTTTTTCGGTCAAGATCAAGCTGTTAGTTGCATTTTGTTCCGCTAAATACATTTCAAGTTTGCTATTTCGTCCACCACATTTTGAGCTTTTGGCCATTTAATTTTTTTGGGGATAAAGTATAGCAAATGATTTTTTTTTTCCTTTGAAGAGAATGAAATAAAATTTGGGCATATACATATGTATGTACATCTTAATTTCCAATATTGATTATTGTAAATGAAACATTGAATTGTATTGGTGACACTGTGTCCATTTGATAAAAAATTGGAATGGTGGCCCGTGATCCAAATGTAATTGAAAACAATGTTCATTACTTGTTGATAGTCAAATTGAGAAGTCTGTGGTCTTAACCTGTTTTTTTATGAGCAATCCTACATAAACTAACGAAATAGGGCCAACTTCTCAAGCCGACTCAACTGCTATAGTTGGACGCATTTATATGACCATTGGATGCATTCATGTGGGCCCCCATATAAATGCATCCAATGGTGTTGAGTTGTTTTGCTATATTTGAATGTCATTTGTACAAAGTGGCTGATCCTTCGCCTTACATTTATAGTTTTTGGAAGCAATATCTTTATATTTGGTAGAAAGACTTATTCTCCAATTGGACTTTTAATAAGATTATATCCTAGAAAAGCTAATTTTATGAGTCAAGATTGTTAATCTGAAAATGGAGAAATTCTTATGAATGTTACTTAGGTATGTGGTTTTCCATGCAAGAAGAGTTAACAGGCAATGACCCTCATTTGGACGCTGTAAAAGAAACTTTCATGTGAAATTGGTGAGTGAATATCTAATGGCCTTTGCCACATAATCTAGGAGCATTTTGTTATTTCAAAGCACGAGGTGTTTTTATTTATTTATTTTACTAATGATGGTCCAAATAATGTTCATTGTGTTTTTCAATAGAGGCTAGTAGTGGATCTTGCTTTAACAAATAGGTCATTGTTTCAATTAAGTGGGATATATGTTTGAAGTCCAAGACTTATAAAGTGAGTCATTTGCAGCAGTCTGATGTTTATGTTATGATTACTTTGAAATAAACACTGCAGAGCGAAATTATGAAAAATGAATCCCAAATTGCAAGGTGTAGAGGATATAATCGTGGAGTAAAGTGTGAACTTATCTTCCTTGAGGTTTAAATGAGAGCATTGAAGTTTTTTCCTTCAAAAATATGAGAATTGTTGGAAAGAAAGATATTATTTGGGGGATACGTGGAAAATACATACGTGAGACATGTCAATGCACAAACAAGATTTTGAGTTGCGATCTCGGCCTTAGACGTGAAGGTGGTTGCAATGTAATGGTGGGTTAGTAGTGGTATCAACTGTCTTGATAATGAAGTTTGTTTCTGATAGTAAGGACCGGAACCTGAGGCTTTCACAAGAAGTTGCGCAAGGCCCGTGATCTAGACCTAGAGGGGGTGAATAGGTCTTGTAGTTTTGACTACCGATTTTAACTACTTTTGGAATTAAAAACTATATTACCAGATTTTAAGTTCATAGCAGAAAAAAAAAAAAAAAAAAAATCAATCAATCCATAGTAGCAACTAGCAATCAATAAATACTTATCAAAAAGAAAAAAATTGTAGCAATTAATAAATAAAGAAGTACAGCAATGGACACAAAGACTTTTACGTGGAAACCCCAATTGAAAAACCACGAGACTTAAGTTCAGGCAAACCAAATCCACTATGAGAAAGGAAGTTTACAACTTTGGTTAAAAGTTTCCCAAAACCCTACCTAGTTACCTCCTAGACACAGATGACGCCAAACTTTCCCCTGAATGCTCTAAACTGTCCATCCACTTGTCAACAACATCAGTTCCTCACGAATCTGTTTCTTCATCAATGAATTGGTCTCGGCCACTAGTCATGTAGCATATAATTTAATATTAATAATAGCACAAAAATACCACTGCAACCTAGAGACATGGAGGAAGAAGTCATCAGAGGAAAAAAGTTCCACATTTATCAAATAAAGTTTCTCCATATTTCAAAATAGAAGTAAATGCTAATATTGAAAGTGACTTCTGTTGGATTTAGGGTATGTAAAGAAGTACTGATAAAAAATGTCCTAATCCAAAATCAATTACAACATATAAGTAAAATTTCATCTTTTAGTTATCTCAGCTTCCACGCTCATGAAAATGAGACGCTCGGTGGTGCTCTGCTTGAAATCATTGAGAGGCTGCTACATCTCGTCAAGAATGTGTTCTAGTCTGTACTCTGGATAAATTGGAAGGCTGCTTTGGATGTGAAAAAGAAACAGCACTGTCATCCCTACGCTGGGTTCATAATGGGTGGGCTTTGGGTTGTTGGGTTTTTGGTAATTTTTGTATCTAACATATTGATTCCCTAAAATCCCTTAGTTAATGTATATGGATGCAGCTGGATTAATGCTCTTAACATGCTGGTCTTTCCTGATTTGAGACGGTTGATTTTTAGTTCATGAGAAGTCAAGAAGTAATTTTCTGAATGGTTTTGTTGGAAACAAGTTTTGGAACAACACTATATGTCTATACTTCTGTCGAAATTGATGGATACACTTCTGCTTTTATTGTTTGAATTGATTGCCATAAACAGCTTGCTTTCTGTAGGTGGTTGTTTGTGCATGTCAAAGTTACTAGTTTCAATTTCTCCATAAATTTGTCATTCATGCTTGAGTTGATTTCCCTGCAGTTTGTGATATCATTTGACCAACTTTTGATTTGCTGGAGTGTAAATCAAAATTAAACCTCTTGATGCATATTATGTATTTCATGTTCATCGGCATGCTGATTTTCCATGATTAATGATTTTTGTTCTCTATTGCTTATTCATAATAGACAAGGATTTGAGTTATGATCATTTGGCCTCTGGATTAAAGGCTGCTCTTCAAAATGATAAATCTGTGTTTGATGCTGATCGTCTGCAGAAGTACACTGGTATTATGGCTTCTTCTTGAACCTTCTGCCTGTTAATGTATCTTGCATCATATACTGTATAAAGAGCTCTCTCTCAATATATGTATAGGCTGGAAAAATGGAAGTTCGTTACAGAGATTGGGTTGAAAATTGAGTTCTCAGTTTTTTTAACCATCCTAGAGCCTATGGTACCGCAGTAAAGATAGCTGCACAATTTGCTTTGTATCTGGCCTGCCCCGTACTCTGATTATTATCTGAGAATATACCAAAGTCAACCCCAGGCAATCCAGGCATGAGAATGAAATATAATAAGTAACAACCCTCAAACTATTAAATCATCCAATCGATCATTTTCAATATTAACACTTATTGCCACATACTACCTCCGTCCCATATTAAATGTTCACTTCGGGAATTGTGACTCACAACAGTTCCGAAGTGGACATATAATATGGGACAAAGAGTGTAATATAATTTAGTACATCAAAACCTTCAAAAGTCAATTCTACACTGTCAATCCCAACAAAAGTTTTCATACATTAACATGATGTTTACAAGTGTAACACAAAAACCTTCCATAGACAGATAAAAATCTCAATCATGTAATTCATGTAAAATAAGTGTCTTGACTATTCCAAGTCCCTTCAGTTCTTTAATCTGAAAGGTAGTAGGGGGTGATATTGGCAGCACAGTAGATAATTTATTATACTCGATTTTTTAAATATTTTTTTATGTCATTCAACGTAGTTTTTTATTTTTTATTTTTCAATAAGCATGTTAGAAAAGGAGTTTCAAAGCAATATCAAAACAAATATAATTTTTCATTAGATTCAATAACAACATATCATTCAATTAAAAAAAATAAATTCACTTCCAGCAAAATACATAATGTAACCAACAATCTTTTTTTCCCCTTAGTTATGCATATAACACTACGTGCTTTGAGTCATTCTCCCAGGGATCTTCACCCAAACTAATTAACTCCTTGAGGTTGTTGAGCCTTCCACTCAACAAGCATACTGCTGTTCAAGCATTCCTCTATAATAATCCAATTTTACATGCAAATTATGATTCCAAATCTAAATGTTTTTAAACAATATTTGTATAAACAATATCAAAAGATTTATCAATCATTATTTATTTTTTGGATGGAACAAAACTTCTCAATCACTAAACAAGCCCCAGCAAAATCATTTTTTTCTAATCACACCAAATTAATTATTATATCTAAAATGTCTAAATAAGGTCTATATATACAATCAATTATATATTCAATAAAATATAGAAATACTCATTTTTGCTATCATATCTAAATTTATAATTTAATTTAATCTAAAACTAAATTAATGCAAGTGCTGGCTATTATAGTTTGAATAATTTTTGAGTGAAAAGTTTTCAAGAAATAATTTAATAATCATTGTTGCCAGGTCCTCAATTACGTGAATTATTGAAATGGCCAAGACCACTTCCTTTGGAGGATGAACGGGTCCGCTTAATGCATGAGGTTCAGTTTCTTCAGATTCTCATATTACATCTTTCTGTGTCCATAAATTTTCTTATAATCTTAAAGTTGTACTGGTTGTTAATTGTTGGAACTCTAGATTATTTCTAATAAATTGAATTTCCTAGCTCATTTCAACTACATTGTTTTCCTGTATAATTAATGTCATGGTATAGATTGGGCATGAACTGGAAAGAAGCTTTGAGGGAAAAGCATCCACTCTTGTGGAGTCTTCTGGGAAATCAGCAGGAAAGCTTGTAGCTCTTGTTACCCGTCACTTTCCAGGTATTTTATTTGTTAATATGTCAATGCTTCGAAATGGTTCTATATTTAGTCACAACAATGAGGTAGATACTTGTTGTGAACACTAAATATTTCAAATGATGTATAGGCTTTCGCGATCACTCAGTGTACAAGGGTCACCAGGTATTCTTGTATAAAAGAGCTCAGATATTTGCGGCAGATTTGTGGGGTGCATTCAAGGGCGAAGGATATGGCGAGTTCAATGACGTAGGTTCAATTACCATATTTGCGGATTATATTGTTCCAGCTGTGCTTCGGCAACTTGGTGTTCTAAGATACAGTTCCGCCCTAGCCAGCATTATTGAGGCTAATAGTGAAATTGGTCCAGGCAGTGAGGAGGAAGTAGAACTACGAGCTTGCTCTGTATATGCTGTAGAGAAAATGAGGGAGTTGATCGGTACAAAATCTGGAAAGCAGGTCTGTCTTGCCTATCCCTTGTATAATAATCTCTTTTGTCCATTTATTTTTGATTCAATTGCTAGTCAAATTTGGTTTTGTTGTTGTAGTTTCAACTTGATGGTGGTAATATATTGATATATAATTTATAAAAAATAGATAGACATACTTTTCTGTGAGAGCCTTGTTTTTGTGAAGTCTGCTGTATTTAGTATGAGAACTCTTCTGTAAATTCCTTCATGTTGGAGAGAGGATGCAGCTTCATTATTTTGTAGTTCTCTTATTAATCTTTTGTCTACATTTGCTTGAAAAACAAGATTTCTTTCTATTCGCTGATAATATTAAATACCTTAGCTGATTATGGTACACAAACGTTTTGCTTCTCATGAAAGACCAATATTCTGTAGCAAATCAATGAAGTGCTTCCCATTATCATATTTTGTTTCTCTTGCTTTTTTTGTTCATTTTTTCTGTTCTGTGTTTGGTTGGAAGAAGGTAAAAGAAAAGAGAGTAATTTTCTTGGTAACCTAGATTTTAAGAGATCTCTCTTTTACTCCATCTCAATTGACAGCCAAAAGGAGAGCTTTACTGCACAATTGATGTTGAACCCTCACCTCTGATTTCTTGCTAATTTTGGTTTACTCTTTCAGTGTTTTTTCTGCTTTCAATTTAAATTTTGGACTTGAAAACCTTACTTGAAACCAAGGTATTAGACAACATAGATGGCTGCTTTAATGATAACAGGCACGGTATCATGTGACGGACGTGATATAATGGATGCAACTACTGGACCCATATATATTTCCCCAGCTCCTAAATTATACTTTTTTGAGAATATCATAGAATAAGATTTCTCCTATGATATTCTCCAACAAATCTCTTATCTCTCCTATGATATTCTCCAACAATACTGATATGCATGATTTCTTCATAGAATCTCATAATTTATATTTTAAATGCTCTTTAATGAATTTCGAAACATGATTTAATTTAGGTAATAAATTTTACATTAACATTAAAAAAACTGACTTTATCTTTACTATTTTCATAACAAAGAATGTACTTAAACAAGTAAGTTCTTGTTGTCGCTGTAACATGTTATTTTGGCCAAATAAAGTTATGATAGTTGATATGGGCAGTTAATGGCCACACTTTTTATAGAATTATCGGTTTCCTTCACATGAAATGTAACTTCTCTTCCTGGTGGTCAGGTAGAGCTGGAGCTTAGATGTGTCAAACTTTCTATTTGACAGATTGAGATGGCATTTTTTGCCCTTACAATTAAATCTCATTATATGTGATTTTGTTTTTTCTTTAAAAAGGAACTTATCTGAGTCCGTACCTTGGCATATAATAATCTCCATGTATGTACTACGAACCTCCTTCTCAAGTAATTATTCGTTTCAGTCTTCTTCTTTTACTCGGCATGTGTTTGTTTTTGTTATGGTAGTTCTCCAATTTTGTAGCCTGTGTTTATCTTCTCCTTGTTTTCTTCTGCGTATTGAATTTCGTATCTTTTACTCTCCAAAAATATAAAGGCAATTTTTAATATTTGGTACTTCTTTTTCTAACTCTGAAGCTTTTTGTTCAGGTGTTGAGTGTGGAATTGGACCTTTGGTTATGGTCTTTTGGTATCAAATGCCCCTCTCTTCAACATCATCGGACACTCTCTATTTATTATTGAGTGGATCTAAAGCTTGGTAGCCTTCTTGGTGATTTCTCATTTCTGTCATTTATACTTTTGTCAGAAAATGCGAGAAAAGTTTTGACTGTTGGAGTGCTGAGGTAATTTCGTTAGGAAAACCTCTGTTCAATGTTTGAAAGAACACCTGCATGTCAATGAATTTTGTTGCCATATAGATATTTTTAAGGATCCTTGGTAACTGAGATATCATCTTGTCTTGGTAGGTGGATAAACATGGATTTAAGTGCTTTAATTTTGTGGCAGCAGGTGTTATTGTTTATGTGCTTATCAAAGAGTATTCAAAGAGAAGGCATTTTGGAAACTATTTTTTCTTAATCTTTGCACCTAGTTTATGTGCTTGATCTATTGCTTGGAGTTCCATTACGTGGTATTGCTTGAAGTATCACAATTACATCAGGAATGATTCGACTCTAAATTGAAATTCTGGGCGTTTTGGTTGATTCCCATCCAATTGATTGTCAGGGTCAAATATTGTCAGGCTCAACTCACCCGACACCCCTCTCTCCCCCTCCCCTTTTTTCCTTTTCTTTTTGTTGTTGTTGGTGTTCTTTTTCCTCTGTATGAATGGAACTCCAAAAGCATTTAAAGCCTTTTAAGATTAAATTATATTATAGCCATTAACTTTCTTTCTTTTTTAATACCAATGGATAAACAACCGTCTTTCACTAAGCAGTTGGACCTTTAAGGTGAGTTTTTCAGCAAATGATTGGACCATTGACGGCCTCAAGCCGGCCTGATTGAGCTATTGGACCGTGGGCCTTTTTACACAATCCTATGACCAGGATATGAGCGTAGACACAGTTAGCTGTTCAAAAATTCTGGAGATTATGAATCTTAATGTAAACTTCTTTTCAATCAATATTAGTGAGAATTATGTCGAAAGAAATCTCAAGTAATTATTTGATTACATCCTCACCAAAAAAAAAAAAAATTTGCTGATTTCTTACTGGTTGACATCGAATAACATTTCAAAGTATATTAAACATATTGGAAACTGGAGACCTAGAAATGAAACTTAATTTAAGCGAACTCAAGTAAAAAGATGTTGGATGACAATACAAGAGTTGGATACAATGATTTGAGGTGCAATGCTTTATTAGTAAGGATAGATGTGAAAATTCAACTTAAAGTAAAATAGTAATAATAGCAATAGACCCTGGGAGACATTGACCTTGATTGTTTGACCATGATGTAGTTACTAGAGTAGACTTCTGTTTGCTGAATCTCTCAGCTTGCCCATCAAATTAAGTTTGTTGGCTTTCAGACATGATTTCCAACTCTTTTTTCCGGAAAAATATGTTATAATTGATTTGTTATTTTCCATATATTAAGGATTACAAGTTGCACCCCTTTGGTCATCCCACGATGACATATTTGTAGTGTGGCAGTGGAAGATAGCAATTAATTTCATACATTCTTGAGGTTTAGTTGTGGTTCTTAAACTTTCTGTTATCCAGTTGTTAAAGTGGATTTGGATTTTCAAGATGAGTTTTAAAATATCTACATAATTATGTCTAATATATTTTCTTGGCAGTTGCTTCAATTGAAACAGCAGGCTGATATCTGTGAACATAAGTTAATAGCGAATAATATAATTGTTTAAATCTTGTTTGGTCTTCCAGCTTTAATTTTTGAATATAGTATGTACTCTTTCTTCGGCAGTAAAAAATTTCTTACTGTCACCATTCTATTTCCTTCTGTCATGTAGCACACCAATTGACTCAATATTTGTGCAGCGGATTAAAGTGTGTGAAAATCATGTACTTTTTCTTTTGTATGTTACTACAGATTTATGGTAGTTTGCTAGAAAAATTATCTCAGGTATAACTGTGGCTAGGTTATACACTTTCATAAGTTTTAAATACTTGCCATCATTAATATATTCTGTTTCTATTACTTAGCCAGAATGAAGAGCCACTTATAAATCCTCCATCTATAACTTCAATTTATGTCTACATGCCCAGAAGGTAGGTATGTAATGATATTCACTGTATATGCTGCTTTTAATTTGCCCCACACTTAAAAATTATATTGTGGCACCAGGATTCTTCGTGATCGGCAAATCTCCATCATAAGTGCATTTTAGGACATCTGGCTTCCTGATAAGCTTGGGTCCAACTGGCACTTTGTTGGATTTTGGACGAATATCCTGCACACCAACAAACACTCACTTCAAAATAATATACAGAATGCATTTTCCTAGAATTCAGTAAATTATTGAAGGAATCTTCCAAGAACCTGTGACATATGCTTGTTGTACATGCCTTCCAGTTCTGGACAGGCATGACTATATAACTGATGCGCATTCAGCATTCTCAAGATGCTGTTATATTGCCAAGGCTATTATGCTTGTACCAGTGCAGTGTAACTATTTGATTTGCTGATTTGCTATTTGTAGTACTCATTTGGTTCTCCTAGTTCCGCTGATATTATTTTAGCTTTTGGAACACAATCTTGTTGCATCTATCAGTTTGTGTTTTAGGAACTCATAACTGGGGCTTGGAACTAGGAAGCATGGTTTAAGTATTGGTAATGGCCAAGTTACAGCTGGTAAGTGATATTGATATACCGTCAGTAGTTGAGCTTACATATATTTAATGCCTGAGGAGTAAGAAACTGTAGATTTTTTAAAAAAAAATTCCCTTTCTTTGCATGACAAAACTATTGGAAATTTATTTTCTAAGTATTTTGTCTGTTAAGAAGAGAATTAGAAGGAAGATGAGGAATGAGGAGAAATGATGGGTAGATGAACAATGGATAAGTCCAAGGTAGAAAAACATGTCCATGTTTTTCAGACAAAAAGTTTACAAAAAGAGATGATGTGATCTAAGTACTAACGTTAAAAACATTTTAAATGTAACCATTGATACATATAAAATATGTTTGTTTGTGTGTATATATTTGGAATAGAAAAACATTACTCGTCTTTCTTGCTTCTAGATTGATTCTGGTCTTACTGTTGTACTGGTTGAGTGGCTGTAGTAATCATGAAAATTTAAAATCATGCAAAGAGCACTTCCATTCATGGGCATGTGTGTCAAGAACTTAATTCTATAAGACATTTGTAAGCCTCCTAGATCAAAAGTAAACTTCACTATTACAGATCTGGATATGGTTATAAACTTTGTTCAAACTGACTGTAACTTTGTGCGATCTAAATCTTTAAGTGTACTTATTATTTCTATTTCTTATCTAGATCTTAATATGTGTAGAAGTTATGCGTTCATCTTTTTAGTTCCATGCCCATTAGATAAAACATTATGTATTTAGATCTTGACATCTAAAGCTAATCATCACTTGATTGACTAGAATCACTATTCTTCTCTAGTAGTTATGGCATTTCACAATAGACATGCGAACTTCTACATTTTCATGTTCAGTTAATTGTTGGACTTCTGTTTTGTTTTAGGCTGCTTTAAATAGCTAAATGTATATTCAGTTAGCTTTTTCTTTCCTGATTCATTTCCCTAACATGTAAAGATAACCATGTATGATGTAAGATACCTGAGTTTTGTACCCCAATACATAGTAGACAGATGATTTTGACATATAGTTACCTTCTTCATCCTTGTGATTGCACTTAGGATGGGTGTTAAACTGCAGACTACTGTTAGCCACTTGTTTGAGCTTTAAGAGTTTTTTTTATTAATGATTTAAGCATTGTGGTACATCCAACTGAAGTTTTTAGTGGCTTACTGCTCCGTAAAAAAAAATTTGTTTAATAATTGCAGATTTAGGAAGAGTAATGCTTTTCAATAAATGCACATTTACAAGTTACAATATGAAGTTTGTGAGACAGTTAGGAACGTTAGTCATTGCAATAATCTGGATGGTTACTTTTGAAAACACATTTGATGTCTTAAAAACTCTTGCAATCTAAAATCTGAATAGGTGATTGGAACAGAGCTATCTGTTGAATGTGGACTGATCTAATCGTGGTTCTTGTAATAGTTCATATTATATGTTTCTTTCAAGTTTGCGGAAAAGCAAGTGGTGTTTACTACCTGATCAAATATAGTAGTCGGGATTGCAAGGGTGGCGCAGGCATTGGGGGAATCAACTATTCCAGAAATCCTTCCTTCACATGGGCAGCATGATAGTAGAAGATAAATCTGATAGGCACCATCATACCTCGTAGGTCAGTAACATAACAAAATCCAAACATACCATAGTCATGTTTTGGGATGCTTCTTTGGATGTATGCTTGTAATTAAATGAGCACTTAGAGGAATTATCAAAGCAATTTTTAGAGAGAGATGTTAAACCTGTTCTTTGGAGTACCCAAATTTGGATAGGTAGTCAATTGCATTGAGCACTGCACGCTTGTAAGCGACACTGGCATCAAGGTAGTGCTGCCTTCCACTCTCATCAACGCTAATGCCCTCAAATACTAACCACTCTGAGAATCTTGGCTCGACGGGGCCAATCTCAAATATTGGGTTTACGTGAAGGGGAGTGGGTCCCATTGGTGTGAGATACTCTTTCATTCCACCTCTAATAATTTCACACCTGATAACATGAAGAATCATTTGGATAAATAGTTGCATATATCTTGTGTTAACCAACCCATCAGGATAGTGAATATGTAAGATTACGGGAAGATGTTAGTGCAAAATGATGACAGAAGCGTGCAAGAAGCCAGGGTGTTCAGTGAGAAATTTTCTATGAGACCATGACGTGAAAACAACTGGAAGGGTATGCCTCTTGGCTCACATTGAATGGAAAGGAAAAGCAGTAGCACCTGATGTCCTTTTCCTGGTATCCAGAATATATTCCATCGGTTTATGTTTGTAACTCAAATGGCATCTTTGGGTCTAAAAAATATTTTCATGGTGACAATAATATATGTTAGATCCCTGTTGTTGTGCCCCTAGGTGTTTTCGGGGCTAACCTGCTAAAGTGAGGTGAGTGTTGGTCACTTGTTATCTTAGATGACCTGGATAGTCCAGAAGTGCCCGTCTTAGGCACCACATGAAATAGGTATGAGCTTTAGATGTGTTATAGATATGCAAGCTTCCAAACACTTGTCGAACGGCATGCTTGTCATATTAAGAAAGGAGCCTTCTTCAGAAGTTTTCGGTGATATAATCTAAGATTCTAAATTACTTGTTCTGCTATATGAGTTCTATAAGGATGCCAGTGTTGGAGTTACTATATATCTTAGGAACTTCATTTTTGCGTTAGAATGCATATGAAAAAAAATTGCTCTTGGGCAACTCGGCCATGGTCCCTGGTCCTGAAATTTATATTAAATAGAGTGGACACCTCATTATGTTCCTACAGCTGATTTTCCTTTCATGGGCGATTTGTCAGATTGTTGGATTGGTATCTGAAAGGGTGCCTCTTTCATAATAACGGTTTTACTGACTTGTTTTCACAAAACTGACAAACAATGGTGTTTGCCTATCTCCCTGTGGCTCTGAGCAGCGGTTCTCATTCATTTCTTGGTCTGTTCCTGAACTATTGTTGTAGGCCGTTTCTCTTAGTTGATGATGCATTTTAACTTTGTGTGTGTGTGTGTGTGTGGGGGGGGGGGGGGGGGTTGGTGGGGGGGGGATGGATTTTGGGGTATATTATTGCATTCATAGTTATATATAACTTCAGGTCCCTTTATGGCTCTATCGGTTTGTGGGTCTTCATTTTGCCCAAGGATATTTAGGAAGAAAAATTACACTTAGGAAACTTATCTAGGGTCCTGTATCTAAACCTTATAGATATAGTGTTTTCTCCTTGTGCAATTGCTTGATATTGTACTAGAATTAGCTCATTGCTAATGACTCTGTTGAAGGATATATATATTAAGTGGTATCGAAGCGAGTTTGAGATGTGTGGTTATTGTTGGTGACATCATTGTCGTTGTTATTGTTAGTGCTGATTGTGATCTTCGTGTGTAGTGATCACTATAGTTCGTTCTCTTGTGTTGGCAATCCCCTCTGTAGATCACCATTGTTGTCGCTCTTTGTGGTGGCCTACGTGTAATGGTGGTGGTGGTGTGTATGCCATTGTGAAGTGGTTGTGATTGGTTGCAGTTGGCGTTGTCACTGGAGAATACTTGCAATGGCTAGGGTTGTCGAAATATAACAGAAAAGAGAAAGGGAAAAAGATGGTATCAGAGCCAAAGGTCTCGTGTTCAAACCTCACCGTCACCCTAATTAAAAATTGAAAAACAAGTGTTGGTCCAAAAAAGGTAACACATGATGGGGCGTGTTGAAGGATATAAATATTAAAGTTGCACCCTCTCTAACAACTTAAGCTTTTGGACTAGATGGTAGTTAACATAACAGAACTATAATTTGAATTGTATTACTTGTTAGTATGTGGCAAAGATCTTAAAGTATAAAATGCTAAGAGATGGATAGGAAATGTACTTGAGCTCTAGAAAACCACTCATCTCGATTGCTCCACAGAATGAGACTTCACCATCGCCTTGAGAAAAGTGCATGTCCCCAGTACTAAAATTTGCTCCATCCACAAATACTGGAAGGTATATTTTTGATCCTCTGCTGAGATTTTTGATGTCACAGTTTCCTCCGTTTTCTCTTCCTGGAATTGTTCTTGCAGCCTCTTTAGCAATCTTTTCCCATTCAGGATTTTCTTTTTGAATCTACACATAATTATGGCTTGTTAGAATAAAGCTTTGCCACCAATAAGGAGTTAGTCGAGTTGCAATTTAGCTCTAGTGATTTGTTAGTGGAATTATTATGCAAATAGTGATCAAAATATCTGCAAAATCCTACTAGGATGTCTTTGCCTCAAGAGTCAAGACTAGTCTTGAGTATGTGGAGTTAATAAAACTATAGATTCCATATCAAAATGTAAGAATGAAACTGTATCAGGAAAATAATCTTGTTGGGCATGTAGGAATTGTTAAATAATGGCTTCCATGCTCTTTTTAGTATTCCGAGGAAGCCATACCTTTCCAAGATGACAACCTTTAGTTGATGGTAGGTTTGCCAATGGCCGTGAATGCAAAACCTCGCATAATTTCAGAGATTGAAGACCAGTTTCTTCAAGTTCTCTTTCCCTTTTATTCCATATATCAAGAAGTTCCATAGATGGAGCAGTTCCAATTATTCCCGGGTGAGTCAAACCTGGAAATCGCACGCCTGATACAAATAAAAGTGCGTGAATGGCATAAGGAAACAGGCAGATAAAATGCCTTGTGCATTTTCAAAATACCCGGAGTATAGTAAGGTGTATTCCGTTCTTTTTCTCTTTTGATCACTTGAAGTGCTATTTATATTTACAAGGGAATAACAAGTAAAAGAGAGAAATAGATGGAAAATTTACCTGGTATGTGAGGAGAGTAAGCAAATATTCCTTCAAAATACCATATAGCTTTGGTTGCACAAGGAAAATGGTCAGTTAAAAAGCCACCGCCATTTTCTCTGTCAAATGTTGCTGTATAACCCCATTCATCTCCAGGAAGAGGACCTAAGTTGCAGATTTCAACTGCAAGAAGATCGCCTGGCTTGGCTGGAACACCATCTGCATCCAGAACTCTGATCGGCCCACTGAGGTAATGGACCTGAGCCAGTTTTCAAAGGCCGAAAATCAGTAGGTACCCTATATATTTTTAATCATTGTTATTGATGATCTAAAACAGATACTATCTCCTGATCAGGTTAACAGTCCGAGTCAAGAATTTGTAGTGTTCCACCAGTGCTCTACAAAATCATTCTCGTGAGGTACGCATGTTGAGTTTCATAAGGGTTAATTATATACTAAGTAGAGTGGTCTATTTAATCTATGGATTTGAATTTACTCTTATTAGACATACTTTACAAGATGGAATTCATACTTACAGTTGAGAGGTCTATGAATTTTACATCGTTTGCAGAATCATCATCTCTTATATTACCTCCTGTCCAATCTACCATCTCTACTCTAAAGACCTCGCCGGTCTTAACCTCTGCAACTGATGGTATTTCCGGGTGCCAACGGTTGTGAAGAGGTAGTTTTTGTTCCCATGGCTTCTTCTTCAGGTCAATTGGCGCTACTAGTCTAGGAGTTGGAGGAGCCATTGATAAACCAGTAGATTGGGGGAAAGAATGGGCATAAATTTTGAAAATTTATTAGGTTAACCTAATGACATCCATTGGATGAAAATGGAGGTTGACTTAAACCAAATTAGTAGCTGACAAAAGTGGGTGACTTTTTCTCTAATGGTCCCCAAGAACCCATCAGGATTGTAGTAGAGGACAAATACTAAAATTCATCTTCTTACAGCAAACATGACTAAGCCAACATTTATCATTTGGCTGTATCCAACCAAACTGATACTTCAGTAAATAACAGAAGAGAAAGTTAAACTAATCTCTTAAAAACTAAAGATAGAGTGGTAATAGTGATTAGCAGAGATGTAAAGAAATAAAGAGAAAATGATGAAATAAACCGGTGAAGACATAATTTTCTTTCCTAAGAACTAGTTGATGTTTATCATAGTTTATTAGCTTGGACGTATAGTGATCTTTTGCTGAAGCTACAAAAACCACAGCCTTATACACCTTATCATGTTGGTGGAAAAATCAATTTGCTACCATGAGAAACTAATCTTATTCTACGTGATTGGGTGCATTCGGAGTATGTAAACCATCTGTGAATCCGAAGTGGCTAGCAAAACTTATTCTACATGATTATGAGTGTCATAAGTGTAGTGTTGCATTGCCTGCAGTTTACACGTGTTTAAGTTGAAATTGTGTGCAACAAAGTAAATACCAATGAGAATAACTCACAATAGATGGATCAGCATATTTGACGTCCTCGGCAGAGTAGTCTTTCGTAATCCCTCCTCCACTGAAGTCCACCATCTCAACCCTAAAAACCTCTCCTTCTTTAACCTCTGCCACCGGAGGTATGTCCGGGTGCCACCGGTTATGAAGCGGAAGTTCCTGCTCCCATGGCTTCTTCCTTAGGTCTATCGGCACGACGAGTCTCGGACCACGAAAAGCCATGGTTGAATCAAGTCTATCTAGCTAAAGCCAGTGGAAGGTAGATAATAATAGGGGAGATTTTAGTTTTGCAGATTTTCAGATGGAAAGTTTAACAACCATTGTTGGCACCACAAAGTCATATTTTCCATTATTTTTTTTTCCCTTTTAGTGGAAGGACCACCCAGAGCTGATAGAAACACTTGACAAAGTTTCTTGAATGTTAATTACAACAATAGATAGTAATTTGAGGTGGCAATATTACATTGCCTTGGAATGTTTTTAGACCCCACAAAGCTAATATTTGAAGACACAAGGTTAGCCACTAGAGGATAATGCCAACACCTATAGGTGGCAACTTTGTCCTATTATTATCAAGTGGTGTAATTTGGATTGATCCTGTAAATGTCTTGTATACTTCGAGTATATGAATAGAAAGATGCCATTTGATTTTCAATAATGGAAAATTTAAGCAAAGTATATCAGTAAAAGATTTTTAAAATTAGTAGAATTGGACCTGGATCCCCCCTCCTAGAGGATGGGACCCGGTGTTTGTACCATGCATCAAAATCGTACCGTTTTGATGTACAAAACTTACCCGAATCCCCTCTAGATGGGATCCGGTATTTGTATTGTGCATCAAAATCGTGCCGTTTCGATGCACAATATGGAACCCTAAAACGGGAACTATGCCGGACACCGGCGCCAAGATGTGAACAAGGACAAGCATGGACGCCCTTAGTACAAGAGAAGATCCACTTCCCTCAGGGCAAGATCACAATGATTATACTTGTATTAAGCATATGGTTTTGGAATGAAAATGGGCTTTGAGCAGATCCAAATTGCATTGTGAGGAAGACCCCACAAATCGGCATCTTTGGATATTGCCTGTAATTCATGATGTTTTTTTTTATAGGTGTTTTGTTTGTATATGTAGAGAAAATGTTGGTATGTTTGGGTCTACTCAACTAAGATGGATGGTCCTGGAAACTGTTCATAAGGGGTGTTTGGATGCTTTGTATTTGGAATTCGATGTAATGAGTCATTTCATTTTTTTTTTTTTTTTTGGCACAGAAGAAAACACTAGGAAACAACAGGACAATAGATGTAATGAGTCATGACTTTGTTGGAAAAAAAACGAGGGACGGCATCGTCCGTACAATTTGGGATGAGATTCGTATCACTTATAAAGATATGGCTTTAGATGCTTGGTTTGTTTTGATCATGTTGAATTTGTCCATCTCAAGTTTTTGGATTCATCTTTGTCCTCCTGGAAATGGAAAAGGTTGTTCATCTTAGTTTGGCTGAACCATTAAGAAAGTTTAAAATAAATCTTTGAACTACATGGGGTTGCAAATTAAATCTTCAAACTATATAAAAAATTACAAATAAGTTATCACATTTACTGGTGTCTCTGTTAATTCACGTGCAGGCATATTTTCAAATAATGTTCAAATTACTCTTTTGAATGATTATTATACCCCATTTGCAGTTAGTGCAGAAAGTTATTTTTTACTTTTTTTTTTGTAGTTCGGAATTTTGTTTTTGTTTTTTATTTTTTTATTTTTTTATTTTTATGTACGAAAAGAAAATAAAAGGATAGGACATTATGGCATTACTCTTTTTAAATTCATACCGTCTTATCTCATTTTTCTAGATTGGGACGGAGGTTATGTACAATGTTGTAAAAAAACACGAAGGTTCAATTTTAATCAAATTTAAAATATTATATATTTTTTTTAAAAAATTAAGTACATCTATTCTATTCTATTCCTGAATTTCTAAACTTAGTATTAGAAATATAAAATATCTTGAAAAATAATGTACATAAAAATTTTGCCCTCGTGAAGTTTTCTAAAAATAGTTATTAATAATTCAAAAGACAAAAAAAAATTATAAAAATAAAGGAATGGTTTTGAAAGTCGCCCTGACAACGGTGTCTCTCCATAACAAGGGTGTCTTGCCACTCACTTTTCGGTAATTAGTTGAAAATCAATTATAAAAGTTATGAACTGTGTGTTGTAAAATTACAACCAATGTTGTAATTGGTTGAAAAAGCAAGTATCATTGGCACTCATCATAGAAACTACAAAAAAATTGTTAAAATAAATATTTACAGGAATATATATAGAGAGAGAGACAATAAAAAATAATTCAGAAAAAAATTAAAATCTACTTGATTTGTCACTTAAAAATCAATAAAAAAAATTATATTTGGTTTAATTTTTTAAAAATTAAGTTATAAAAAAAATTGTTAAATTTTGTATATGGTGAGCCTTCCAAAACTGTTTTTTCGACTAACAAACCATGCATTAGAATAATTGTTGATAGTTACATATGTTAAGTAATCTGGATTGGTACAAAGATTCGACTCTCTTTTCAAACTTGTTCTTATCTAGTCTAGCACATACCAATATACTCTCCTTCCAACGGAAGAAAAGGTAGACATGGACTGATGGATGGGGCGAGTGGGACTGTTCAGTACAGAAAAGTATACACACATACAAAGATATATATATACATATACATATAAAGACAGTATAATATAGAGTATGGTGGATTGAAAATCAGCGAGGACTCACAGTACAACAGCCGTACCCACCAAAAGAGGCTGTGGATAGACAGATATTGGGAGAATAGAAATCATAGAAGTGTGTGTGTGTGTGTGTGTGTGTGTGTTTGTTGGTGTGTGGCTTTGGGGGCCATTGAAAGTTGTCGGTATGTGTCCAAAAAGTCAAATAGTACCCTCTTGGGGCTTGCAAGTGGGGGGAGGGTGACCTCTTTGCGGATGAGGACGCCACCTCTGCCCAGACAATGACCTTTCCAATTCCTCTCCTTCCTCAATTTCCTCTCATCTCCTCAATTTCCTCTCCTCTTTGCAAGCAAAAATGTAGTATTTGGTTGTAGTAGTTGCGTCTTCCACTGTAACACTCTTTTCTTTATCTTAATTTTATCTACTAAGAGCAAATCTAGACCATATATGTTATTTTGCTTGCTACCATTATAAAACTCTTTCGAGCATCTCCATCCTCTCCCAAATGCCCACTCAAATTCAAAATACAAAAAGATTTATTTTTAATACACTCTAATAGCGTGTTATATACCTTATCAAAATATGATATTCTCAAAACTTTTATCATATATAATAAGTCATTATAAGTTGAGAACTTCAGATGTTAAATTTTTTTTTTTTTTTTTAAATTTTTGTGCATACGTGGGTTGGAAAGTCACATGGGAGAGCAAGAATTATGCATTGATTAAAATAAGAAAAGTAATGATCAAAGTATTAGCACAATTGAAACAAAATTGCTAAAATATATCATTTTGGATGAAATGCATCATTGAAACAAAATTGCTAAAATATATCATTTTGGATGAAATGCATCATTGGAACATAATTGCTAAAATATGGTATTTTGGCGTTGTAACTTCTCTTAAAATATAACTTTATCACGGAGAAATAGCATTTTGCACTGGAGATGCTCTAAGTGGGTAAGAATTATGGTTGAGTATGAGAAGAACAATATTTTTCCATTGTTTCCTCTAAACAACGGGTAGGTATAAGAGCAATGTTAAGAACAATCGCAAATGTTGCAGCATCACAATCTCAATCTCAATTCTTTGGTTTATAGAACTCGAGCTAATCTTACATAGTCACAACTGCATTTAGCACTTTCTTTATATACAAATAATATACGATTTGAGCATGTTATGCCATGTTACATAATTAGAGTCTTAGAAATGAAATTAGAAGAAAGAAAACTCCAAAGAATCGACACCATCGATCCCCTATGGCTGTGTCTATCAGCATTTCTTAGAATAACTTTAGTTTAAAGTTTGAACATAATTTTCACTATTTCTAACGTATTCCTATGTTTAATAGCTTTAAACAAAATCATGATGATAGTTTGTATTTGTTAGTGATATTAATTCTCTCTAACTGACTCAATGGTCGACTACTGTTGAGAGTTAAATATCACTTTGATCACACACAGTGGAAGTATCATCATCATATCTGATTGGAAAAAATAAACCTAACCTACATTGACTTAACGATAGAGGCAACTAAGTGTTGACCAGTCGCCAGATCTCTTCTACTTTCGAATGATGATATTTTCATTGGATAAGAATGATAATGTTTCATTATCAAGGAAAATATAAGATGCTGTGGTTTAACAGGATAAGATAACCTTGCACGATTTGAGAAAGTTAAAAGGTTAAATCATATCCCGGCAAATCTGGCAACAAACGGATCTCCTTTGATCTCGCACAAACGGATCTCCTCTGATATTGCAAATGAACTGAGGTACGACAAAAAAACTATTATTAAATCCCTGCCTTTCTTTTAGACCTTCGGTGACTGACTTGATCGTCGAAGAGCTCTTGGCAGGTACCACACCGGTGTCGTCAAGATTCATCGATCCTCTACTAGCTTCTATACAGGAAAACGATATCGTATTAGACCGCGTGGATTTCACCTTCAACAGTTGGCGCCGTCTGTGGTAAACGACGATTCCTTTAAATCAATTACTCGGTTGGGTATATGCACTTGTGTTCCGGTATGGTAACTGGAACAGAAATATCGTTGCAGGGATCCAGTCAAAGAGAAGGGTCGGGTGAACACCCAGATGTCCTGAATGGCTGGGAACGGCTTGCAGCGTTAGAACTACAGGTCCAAACTCTGAATCAAGGTATAGACTAGTTGATCCAACAAAATGCAGAGATCCTGCAACATCTTATCCTAGCAAGACCACCACCTCAACAAGAATTGTCCGACCCATATTCTCCCAATCTGAATGATGGGGGACAACACGAGGAGGACCGAGAAAACAATCTTTCTTATAAGTTTGAGACAGAACAAAGCCAAGTCGGAAACTGACACAGAGAACCTCCTTCCCCGCCTTCGCGGAATTCCCAATCTCAAATAGGCACAACCTTCTATATTAAGGAACAGACAGAGAAAGTTACCTATTTTGACCTACAGATCGAGGATCTCAAGGCAAAAATGAAAGATGTAATGCAGGCTATGAAAGGGAAAGGTCCTACCGCCATAGATGACCTGGTGCAGAAGACCAACTTGCCATTCAGCCCCACCGTTATGAAATGCCCCCTGCCTAGCAAGTTCAAGATGCTCTCGTTCGAAAGCTTCGATGGGACCAAAGATCCCCTCGATCACCTGGAGACCTTTCAAACTCTTATGCATTTACACGCCGTG